GTATCTGAGCACCTATTTGCCCAGACAATTTAACACATAAAATTAACTCTCACAGGCTATTTTTGTGTTTACTCTTATTTCATCTGTTCTGATGTTCTGGAGGTTTTTCTCTATGGAAATAGTCTAGTTCTTATTTTTCTATTCCAAAAAAATGTTTTGTTTTTTACTGAAAAATTTAAGGACACATGTATCAATTGATTCTGATTTCAACTCTTTGTTAGGAAGAGGACTTTCTTTATGGCAAAGTTAAATTTTAACAAACATAGATAGTTCTTTCTATAGCCTATAATTAAAAAATAATGTTGGCCCTTTCAAAATCAGTGGTATAATCTAAAACCAGAAATGATGCAAGGAGTGGTTATTTTTCAGAGAAACCTTGTGAGTTAATTTGCTCTAACTTGTTACTTTACAGTAAGCAAACTTAGTATACAGGGATTGAGATTTTTCCCAAAATAAATAGGCACAATTTTAAAAAGAAGTAAGATTAACTAACAATATTCTATATTATGCTTTCAGTACTTTACATATGAATTTTTCACATCTGTGAATTTATCTGATTAAACAATAGAGGCTTTCAGGCAGATTAAAAGCTAGCCTGGAATTATTTCTAGAAGGAATCCAGGATAGCATGTGTTTTTTTGTTTTTTCTAAGAATCCACACATTCACATGTTTTTATAGTTTGCAGATAAAAACAGTTGTTTTATTGCACCTTTAATGCAAATGCAATTGTAGGAGGCTATCAGAGACAAAACTCAACACCCCTTCTTCACCCAAATTCCCTTATTCATTGGTGTCTCCATCTAAATTATTTATTAGAAATTTAGACATATGCTGCCACCAAGCAGAAATAAATATTCTCTGTCAGGAAGCTTTTGGGCTAACAGAGTTAAAAGAAAAAAGACACCACACTACACTGAGAATTAAGCTTTTTGTTGATTTTTTTTAATCAAGTACTCATCTTGAGAATTCTGAGGCTTGTTTTATGATAGCTTCATTTCACCTAAATTTTGCATGTTGGTTATGTTGGTACTGAGAGATAAAAAGATGTTAAAAGCTATATGGAAAATGCGAAGTTATTAACAGGTAAAGGAGAAGAGAAAAAGAAATAGTAAAATGAAAATAGCATGAGCACAAAAGTTTGACCCAGGGCTGGGGATTTAGCTCAGAGGTGCTGTACCTGCCTCATAAGTGCAAGGTCCTGAGTCCTGAGTTCAATCTCCCGTACCAAAAAAAACAAAAAAAAAAACAAAACAGTTACACAGCCTTTTTTTTAGCTCAGAGGTGCTGTACCTGCCTCATAAGTGCAAGGTCCTGAGTCCTGAGTTCAATCTCCCGTACCAAAAAAAACAAAAAAAAAACAAAACAGTTACACCCAGCCTTTTCATTTAATCCATTGTTAATCCATGGAATAACCTGGCTCAGATTAGGTGCAGTGATTTCTTCTGTTTTATGGATTTTTTTTTGCAAATGCATCTCCCGTTTACTGTCCAGCATTTTGACTATAACAGTACAAATCTTTCCCATCTCATAGTCATCAAGATCTTTTTTTTTTTTTGGTACCAGGGATTGAAAGCACGACCTTGTACTTGAGAGGCAAGCACTGTGCCACTGAGCTAAATCCCCGGCCCCATCCAGATCTTTTTATCAATCCATTTGCAATACTGGGTGCAGGTACTTATCAAAGCCACATAATAAAAGAGGCTCCACATGAAGAACTTAGTTCTGGGAATCCCAGCAAGCATCACATTTCCCTGTAATGTCACCTCACATGTGGCCCTCCATCTCTGGGCTCCCTGTAGTAACAAAAACCCAGGCCCTTGGAAAATGGTGTGTATTAAGTGTTTATTTATCTCACAATACTTAAGTTTCTGCTACATGTAGGCACTGTGCTAATACTAAAAAGAAAATTAATGAGCATGTTTCCTCAGTGTCTATCTTTATTTTTGAAATCCCGCGCAGCTTCTGTAGGGCTTTTCAAGTGCTTCCCACTATAAAGTATCCCAATGGTCCACTGGGCACTGAGCTACTTTACTGCATCTTTGTACTCACTAACTGCACTCCCTTGTGTACTTCCTGTTTAATGAGCTCACAAGCTCATGTTTTTTAGACTTTTTTGTCATTCTTCACAGTCCACATTGGACACTATTTGAACTGATCCATGAAATACCTGTCACAAAATGCCAGATGACAACCTAGAATCCCTCAAAGGCTTTCTGAGGCATCACTGTCATGTAATTTTTTTGCACCCTTGGACGCTTACATTCTAGCCTCAACAAATTATAAGCAAATGATTGGGAGTGGGAGTGGTTTTTAGTGAAACCATTCTTCGTAGTTTGGGCCTGGAAAATTTGAAGGTGCATTACCATGGTAACAATGTTTTCATAACAGTGACTAGATTCACTAAGAAGAAGTCAAATGATATTTTTATTCTTTAAGGTAGACATGTAATAATAATACATGAAAGGGGATAAGAACTGATTACCTAGAGAAACACTTGTGTAGCTGTGTAAATGATTGTCTAGTGCTCGCCATTGGAGAGAGGAGACCCAGAAAATCCCCCATGGCTCTGTATTATTGCTACATTCATATTGGAGAGATAGATGCTTTGTTTCCATTATTCCAGAGTTAAAGAGCTGAAGTCAGCAGCTTTATTTAAATGGTTCCAGGGCTCCTCAAATAAGCCTATTATATAATTAAGAAATATTTCTTATTAAGGGAAGAGACAAGAGGTATTTCAGTCAGGCCCAGAGCTTCTGTGACACGTTTCAAGATTTAGTGAAAGGTGTTCCTCAAGCAATACTTTCATTCCTTACCTGTTACTGTAAGCTTTTAAGAAAAAAAAAAAATCTCTTAAATTTAAAACTTCTAAAATGGTCTATTTCTAAAATAACTTCTTAAAAGTTATAATTTTTATGAACACATTTCAGTGTTTCACATCTACACTATTGTTTTGTAATTGCTTAAATTGAATTAGATTTCTCAAAAGCTACTTAGAAAAACTTTTCAGCAAGGCCTGCCTATTGTATTTTTCAGAAGAAAGCTGGGTTTTACAATATTATTCACATTTTGTAAACAGCTTCAATGAACCTGCACATAAAAGGTTAAATGTTTGCAGGCCATTCTTTTTTTGCCTCAAAGATCAGAGACAAATTACTATTTTTATTTTACATTCCCTTGATGAGGATAATGATAAACAGCTGTCACTTCAGTGCTTTGCAAAGAATCTTATTGCAATCCTATAATTTAAACAAAGAAAAAATATAGTCATGCACAGAATACATTCAGAAAAGAACATGACAGTGAATTTGGTTAGAACTGGGCTTAGAGAAAAGTGAGCTTTTGGTCTCTGAAATTACTCAGTTAAAAGAAAATTTTCATCTATATGATTTTCACATTTATTTTATGCATGTTTGACATTATTGCTTCTTTCTAAAATGAGAAATTAAATTTGTATTCTGAATTCTGTGACTCCCTTTCATGTCCACTTTATTATCTAAATAGTTTGGGAACATAATTGAAGTTTTTCATCGCTGAACTATTATTTTACTATTTTTGTGGCCCTAGTTTTTGTTTGTGTATCCCAGGTACTATTGCATCTATATCACAAACTAATAGCAAAGCTAAAATGTTATATAAGAAGACCATTTTTAAAGAAATTAAATGAGGGAACAACCACCATTTTGAATTTTCCAGTCTTCTTTCTACTTTGCTGTTGTAACTGTGAGATGCCTCAGATCTGTCCTAATACTATTAACCTTGCAGCTTCATGTCATGCTGTTGGGACTGGAATGTGACAGTTAATTTTTACAGTGAGCATATATTGTTAAGCATTTGATATTTCTGAAGGAAACCTATAGAAATATTGTGAATTTCTATCTGTGTCAGTTTTAGTTTTGTAACTTGTAAATGTGCCTTTCATGTGTGCATTGCAATTCAAAGGAAAGGCTTGTCACTTAGAGACAGCACAGTGCTTTGCCTAGGACTGAGTGGATGAGTGAAAACCTGGCAGATCAAAGTATGTTCGTTTCCAAAGAAAGGTACTTCATGTCCACATTGGAAACAATAAGTTATTTCTCCTTTTTGCGTTCATAATTAAACCTTTCCAAATACTAAAAGGTAGCCAAACCACTAAATATCTGCATCGTGTTTTGGGGCTTATATGCTTCAACCTAACTTTAAATGGAGACCATTTGTTCTAAATTGGTTTCAATGCCAAGCCAATAGGTCAGCCCTTAATGATGAAGATGCCATTCCAGCCCAGTCTCTTATGTATAAGCCAAAATTAATTAATCCAAGGCCTATGATATAGAAAACAGATGCGTCCCTAATATTGCACAAATAAATTCTTTGTGTATAGATGGGCTCTGTTTTATTCAAAGAATAACAAGTTGGAAGTTGAAATGGTAAGTTTTTCACAATGGAGCCAGCCTTTAGTAGTGATGACAGAAGCCTGAATTTACATAACAAATTCCAGCAAATGCAGGGAAGAATGAATTATCTTCTATATCTCTTATTTTGGCTCCAGGCCAATCCTTGGAGATTTAGTTTTGAATCTGGGGTGATCCAGTCCAGAGCAGTCATAGAAGTGCCAGAATAACATCAAGGTTATTTCTAATCTATGGAATCCCTGGAGACTCCTCCCACAGGTTTACATCTGCCTCGTGTGTTTGGATTCAGTTCTTTGGCCAGCTTGCAGATGGCTTAAGGTTAGATTGTTCTCTAGAGGTACACTGTTGTTTGGTTGCTCGCTTCAATATTCATTCAGACATGGAATACTTCCCTTTGCTAGATCGTGGCAGACTCAAAGTAGAACAGAAACTGCAGGATCCAGATATCTTTTCAGAATTAATTGATGGGTGATAAGACGAAGCTGTTACCATAAAATGGTGTAAACTTGAATTATGCTAAGCAAAATTTGATTGTTTGACAATGTCTGGTATTTTTTTCTTTTGAGCAAATATGAGGTAATCCGTGTTTTATTTTGTTTCCTTTCTGTTAGACTGAAAATGACGAGAATGGCCAAACAGAAAATTTTTCCATGGACCCACAATTGGAAAGGCAAGTGGAGACCATTCGCAACCTCGTGGACTCCTACATGTCAATTATCAACAAATGCATCCGAGACTTAATTCCAAAAACAATAATGCACCTCATGATCAATAATGTAAGTGATTAAACACTCTCTCCTTTAACTTCTAACCCATCTGAGTACGGAAATTGAGCACATTTGCTGGACTGTCACTGTGATAACTGAGTAACTGAGATACCTGGGTTTATAATTTTTCCTTTACATGTGTGAAGTGGCTGATTAATGAAAGAGAATTTAGGACAGAGAGCAATACTTCTAGCTAAAGTATTGAAGTGTTCCTTGTTGGCTCTTTTCTAGAGGGTATGAATTTGCTGACGATAAAACAGAGCAAAAATGCTATATTCATGGTCATGGTGTAAGTTAATTGCAGAACTAACTAAATCAGTTGTTCTGGCTCCTACACCTTGAGATTAAAGGCAAAAGCTATATTTTTTCCTACACATACGCAAATATACACTATTAATATGATTTTGATCATGTATACATTTTGAAATGCTATTTTAATATAAGAAAGGGCATCTTACCTCATTCCCTTGAATACAAAGTCAGGCTTGTTTTAAGGATGATATAACCACAAATCTCAAAGTATCCTGCTATACTAGCAGTAGATATATTTATATTATCCAGAATCTTTCCTTTTTCAGTTATCTGTAGCCCTTAGGATACGATACTTAAATTAAGTGGTATGGTTTGGTTGTTTTGGTAGTTAATTTTTCAAAGTACAAATAATAATATAAGTTATTAGAGAAATTATCTTTTAGATAAGAAGGCTATAATGAGGTATCTTTTATAACAGGCTTTCTGAATCTTACAAGTGAAATATCAGCAATTTTCCCAAGTATTGTCTAAGGACATTGTTTTATGTAAGCCACTGATATATTAATCAGCACTGCCAGTAAGAAATCAAAATCAGATGACAAAATAGTGAAAAAGTCCCAAGCTATAATTCAGGAGAAACCTGGCTCTTAACCTAGTTCTGCTACATACTCTGTTGACATAAGGTAACTCATTTAACCTTCTGTGTGTCTGTTTTCTCCATTGGTAGACTGATAATAGTATATCTATCTAACTTGTCAATCTGTTGCAGAAGAGTATATATGACAGTTACTTGGGGAAATGTCAGAGTAAGAAATCAGTATGGCTACCTATTTAAAAACTACGAATCATCTTTATCCATACATACATCAAGATGGATTTCATAATTTTACTTTTAAGTGTAACAATCCTTTATTGTCCATGATCCCTACAGTTCTTGACTATAAAAAGCCCCAAGCATTGAACAGTCTTTTTTTTTTTAATCTCCTTTTCCTCCTCTTTCTCCTCCCCTCCTTCCATCTCTAGCAAGCAATTTTCTCCTAATAAGTTGTTGTTTTTAACTATTTTCATGTACATTTCATGTATTCAAGCAAGGTTAACAGGATTCTTTGAAGTCTAAGTACAGGTAAGCAATATATTGGAAATGTGGGAATGGGGAGTTATAGTATTATTCTTGATCAGTGGCCTGCTGTGTGGCCTGAAGCAAATCTTTCAACCCTTCTGAGCTGAAGTCAGTCACCTCTACAATTATAGTCAGAACACTGAGGTACCTCAGGGAACTGTCAGATAATATAATAAATGTGGCTCTAAACCATTTAGAAAAATCTAAAGGGCTAAACAAATAGTCTGTGTATTTTTTAAATTACCCTCTTAACTTTGCTTAAATGAATTCAGGTTGTTTTGCTGTGGTATATTCAGGCACTTGCTTATTTAAACATTTGCCTGATTAAGGATCATTTATCTTTTCACTGTTTTACCAAGAGTCATTAGTACTGCCATCAGTTCAAACACACTGCTTTGCCCTTCGCTATATTAAATCATCAGCACAGGAAATAGCACTTCCTGTCTATAACTGTTTGGAGTAGCCTGACACACATTAGTTAAAAGGGGAAAACAATCCTATTGCAAATCTATCCTACTTTCACCTCCTCAAGAAAAACACACACCACATACTCACACATACAAAGAAATGCAGGAGTAATGTCCATCCACACTGTTGTGTGTGTATGTAATGAAATAGTGAAAGCCCCACCTCCAGAATATTTTCCTTGGTGGTAAAGCTCTTCTAGTTGTCTCGAGAAAGACCTCACAGAGGTCTCGCGAGCAAGAAGGTTTCAGTTAAGATCTGGTCTCCAAGGTCAAACCTTGAAGCAGAGATTAATAGGAATGTGTCAGTAGTGTCATGTGATGCTGAATGCTCATGAAATTATAGTTACCTCTGTTTGAAATGTAAATTTTTGTTTCTACCAGACATTTGTTTTACATGTCTAGAATAACTAATTTTCTTGAGTATTATATCTACTTTGACTATCCATGTATAATTTTTGTGTGTGGCACACATTGTATATTTAATCTCTATATCTGTGAAAATACGTCTCTTTTAAAAAATGTTCTCATATTCTCACAGCCCATAACGTTTTGTGGGACACAATGCCAATTTTTTGTTCATTCCACATGTGAGATGACGGAAGCAAATAGCAGATAGTTAGCACTGTGCCATGCTGATGTGCTGGTGTTTTTGTTTGACTTCAGGTAAAGATATTGTCAAATAGAAAACTGATAGTTTGACTCCAAACTCTGACTTCCATTCACCAAACCTATCTGCTTCTATAAATGGCCCTTGGTATTTCTCCAGAACCAAGAAATACCTAAAATGGGATTCTCTATTTCTTCCTGGTCAACCAGAAACAGACGGTGGCCTTTCCTCTTTGAAATGGAAATGGCTGCCCAGCTTTCTGCAAAGGAATATGCTTCAGCCAACTTTCATAAAGTTCAGAATTTGCTGGGCAGTTTCCTTTCAAAGTTTACATTAAGGGCTCTGCTACTCAGGTCCCCATATGGAATTGTTTAAGAAGTTGAAAGCCCAGCAATAAATGCCTTGCCTCAGACATACTGTAAGCCTTTGTCTACTGAAATGCAGCAGCTGTTTCATTACTTAAACATACCAGGTAACAGCAGCACAAAGAAACCCCATGTTTATGAGAGGCCGTGGTTATGGACAAGCTACGGTCAGTGCAGCAGAGTTGTGTCCAGGACCTCTGGACTAACACAAAGATGCAGGGCCTCTCAGTTCACTGAGTCTCCCCGTCAGCACCTGCTAATGCATATGGCAGGGTTGGGGACGCGGAGTTCAGCCCTTGCAGATTGTACAGCTGTCCCCCCCACCCCCATAAGACAGAGCCACAGAGTTATCTTCCCAGAGGGTTAATTTTACTTGAAGATCTGATTAGGGTTTGTTTAGTAGTAGAAACAATGTTTTAAATCTGAAAGTATTGTGCCTCATATTCAAACCCAGAGGATACAGAATCAAATGTAAAAGCTTTTATGGATTCTTTTTAAAAACCAGATATGAAACCTAGAGGCATTTCACACTCAGAATGCGGGCAAGCAGCAGCCCGTGCCCCAGTGCCCCAGACCCCGGAGGTCCACATTCCCTCCGCAGGGCCATCGGCACTTGGGTGGAAAATTGGTAACAGGTGCCCTATTTTCAAAACTCACTGTAGCTTTAATGTGTATAAAGTAAAGTGCTATTTTAAATGCTCATTATTTGAGTGGAAAATACATCTTAAATACCAGATCTTTATTTTGGTATTTAGACTATTGAGCTGTTTCCACAACCCCAAGAATTCAGCACTCTGCTTAAGAAAAAGATGATTACAACCGAGACCCCCAGGCCCCTCACAACCCCCCCCAACAAACTCCCCCAAATGCAACAGTCCTCTGATGGATTTCTTAACCGAAGGGCTAGTTCTACGTGTTTATGAACTTTGGAGTCACAAAGAATGTGTCTTTTTGTGTCTAATTTCTTTTGCCCAACATTGTGAGTAAATGGAGGCTACGTTTTGAAGAGGGAAAACTCTGCCTCAGTCATTAGCAGAACTAAATTCCAAGGGAAAAGACAAAAGAAGCCTTAAGGAGATATAGGAAAATTGTTAAATCTAAAATTCTCACCAGGACCCTACCCCTAAAACTAAGTAACATTAAACCTCTGAGCAGAATGCATCTGTGTCGTGTGATAGAGAGGTCACTGTGTTCCATAAAGGGACCCTCATCTAGAAACAAAGAGATTTTTAAGAAAATGGTCTCCCTGGCAACTGAACTATACAAAACTCAAAATGTCTCTTCCGTTGATGAAGCCATTAAAATGATCTCAGTCACAACAAAGAAGGTTTAAGATCCAAACATATTATAGGTTGCCAGAGAAGGGTTAAAGCAAGGAAAAGGAAAACATGTGGAACGTTTTTAATGACCTCACATTCCTTTACCCTGAACAGTGTGACATGGTGCAGTAATGCCTGTTTATCCAGCCTGGAGAGTTTGAGCTGGAACAAGGTTTCACATGGGAGAAGATTTGCAAGCCATTCAAAGGTGCAGAGGTTATAAAGTGTTATTATTAAAGGCGTAGATATTCTTTCAAATCTCACATCCAAGCATAATTAGTTTGTTATGTTCTGTAAGGTATTTTCTAAATGCTATCACCTACAAGAGATCTCTTGACCTCTGTCTTACTGAATCCTCGACTTAAGGACTTATAGCACTGACACACAAACTGCTGAGAAAGTCGCTGAAGCGTCTGGAAACCCCCCAGGTGCTCCAACCCTATCTTTATCCCCAGCTCCAGCTGTATCATCACAGGCTAGCAGGAGAATCTTTCTAAAGTTTTGCTTAAATGCAAAATAAAACATTCACCTATGCTCTATATTTAACTACATCACTCAGTAGCTTTATAAAAGAAAAAAAACAGCTTTCATTGAGCACTCATTGTGTGCTAGTCACCTCATATTCATTCTTAACCCTCAAAATGCTCAGGGAAGCTGCTAGCATTATCCCTATTTTATAGATAAAGAACCAGAGCCTCAAAGATAAGAATCAGAGCTAGGATGCAAATCCAGGCCTGTCTCATCCCAAAGACTGTGTTCTTTACCCATGTGAGGTATTGCCCTTTTCTCTCGTGTTTTTTTTTTTTTTTTTTTTTT